ACCATCAAGACGCCTGCCATTTTATATAAACAAATCATTGGTTATCAGAACTCTCTACATCCGCTTGCTATAGAGTAGATGTTTTTACATAAATACGAACGCACAAATTGCGAATCGTCAACTCAGATTGATAAAGACTCAGCTATAATAACACTCATGGAGTGTGCGATACACTTACCTCCACGTGGTGCACCCTGGGCAACGTATACTCACACCTTACCTCCACGTGGTGCACCCTGGGCAACGTATTCTCATTCGGCTTACCTCCGTGGTGCACCCTGGGCAATGTATATTTAGACTTACCTCCACGTGGTGCACCCTGGGCACCGTATACTCATACGGCAAAAAAGTCTATTAACCGGCAGTTGTTGCGATAGACTTACCTCCACGCGGTGCACCCTGGGCAACCCACTCATACGGCAAAAAAGTCTATTAACCGGCAGTTGACTTATCACTTCTCATACGGCAAAAAAGTCTATTAATCGGCAGTTGACATCTTGACTTCTGACTTCAAACTACCATGACCCCACTGTATGTTACAAAGTATACTCATACGGCAAAAAGTCTATAAACCGGCAGTGGACTTCTGACTTCAAACTACCCTCACCCCACTATATGTCACAACTTCTCACTTCAAACTACCATCACCCCACTGTATGTCATTGTGTATGCGCATACGGCAAAAAAGTCTATAAACCGGCAGTTGATCTAACCCTAACACGGCAAAAAGTCTATAAACCGGCAGTTGACCTCTGACTTCAAACTACCATGACCCCACTGTATGTCATATTTGGGCAACAGACCCATACGGCAAAAAATCTATTAACCGGCAGTTGACTTCAAACTACCATCACCCCACTGTATGTCATATTCGTCTACTTCCACTTCAAACTACCATCACCCCACTGTATGTCATATTCGAAACTCCAAACTACCATCACCCCACTGTATGTCAAATTCGACGACTTCCACAGTACTCACCTCATCTTTTTTCCAACTTTGTGTCCGTCTCTTTTACATCTTTGAAACACTCTTCTGTTTCCCCCATCTCGACCTTTTTCACATTGATGTTCCTTCCCATCTGTGAAGCCTGAAGTCAACAAAAGGGCTAATGATAACTATCAAAACGCCTGCCATTTGATATAAATAAATAATAACACTCATTTATATCAAATGGCAGGCTTTATGATCGCTATCATTAGTCCTTTAGTTGACAACGGGCTTCACAGACTGAAGGAACAGACAAAGTCATAAAAATTCGAGGGTGGAGGGGCATAAGAGTGACTTACAGTTATAAATGTAACAGGCGGACACAAAGGTAGATAAAAAAGTAAGGTGAGTACTGTGAAAGAGGTCGAATATGACATACAGTGGGATGATTGTAGTTTAAAGTCAGAAGTCAACTTCCGGTTTATGGACATTTTTGGCGTAAGAGTATACGTTGCCCAGGATGCACCGAGTGGAGGTAAGTCCTTCGTGCACTCCAATTCTGACATATACTTAGGCTATTTCTCAACTTTTATGCTATATAACAACAACATTTTGAATTCTACTGTGCTGCAAAGCCACTTTTCAAATTTATCGGCCACTTATCTGCCGCCACTTTACGTTTGCAAAAAGGCGACTTTTTTTATAAATTTGGAAAGTTTTCTCCACTCACCTTGGAACTAGCCTTTTAGCTAAATCGATGAAAATCTTGCAATACTTGGAAATACTATATTCATGTATTTATTTGATTACCTAAGTTTAATTAGTAAAATAGCAATGCTATTATCGATTTGCTTAATTGTAGGTGTGAGTGTATTCCACTAGCCTATTTGCTCAAAGTTATTGTATCGGAATTGTAATTCAGATACAAAGGAGCATATTTTCAATGGCAGACTAATTAAAGGGGAGATAAATAGGCTTCCATTTTGTAACTAACGGTTGCTCGAGTTGAGTTTGAAGAATTGTAGCTTGAGATATGTGGGAAAATTTTTGTACGGTACGTGGATAGCTATAAAGATCACTAGGTGGATATCGCGTGACAGCTTCAGAGTTTCGGTAGAGTTGGGTTCGATTCTTCTGTAGCTTTCAAAAAATGCATTTTATAAACTAATTTTAATTTGTATGTCAGTTAAGAATAACTGATTGGCTGATGGTGTCTCCTCCCTATAGTGGGGAATGCCGAGAAAGTTTGCCGCGACTTGGTGATTATATAAATTAATCCGACTCAATTCAAGGTATGTTAGCTCATTCACATTCAAAGTAATCGTTTATTTCTTCATTTATATCAAATGACGGGCGTTTCGACAGTTATCATTAGTCCTTTAGCTGACTTCGGGCTTCACAGAGGGTAGGAACAGGCAAAGTCACGAAAATCGAAAGGAGGGGGGGGGGGGGGGGGGCAGAAGAGTGTTTCATGGATGTAAAAGAGGCAGACACAAAGTCAGAGAAAAGGTAAGATGAGTACGGTGAAAGTAGTCGAATATGACATACAGTGGGGTGATCGTAGTTTTAATTCAGAAGCCAACTGCCGGTTTATAGACTTCTTTGCCGTATGAGTATGCGTTGACCAGAGTGCACCACGTGGAGGTAAGTCTATCGCACATCCCTTCAAAGTAATCATCATTCAGACGTTTCGTGTTATCACGTTGTCTGTAAGACAATTGACATTTTCTGCGATGACATATTCTCTTCTCATCTGCCCTTACACAGATATACACCAGGTTCCCACCCCACTTAAAGTAGATCTAATCAGAAGAGTCATCATACTTCAAGAGTCTTGTTATCACTTTGCTTGGAAATATGATCAAGTGTTGTATTAGATACGCCAATGCTGAAGAGAGGGCAGTTCGAATTGTGTGAAATAGACCGATGTCAACTAAAGGACTAATGATAGCGATCATAAAGCCTGCCATTTGACATAAATATTTGCCATGGTCTTGCGATACGACTTGAATAATTCCCTTAGAGCTCTAATTAGCCGCAGACAGGTACAGCCAGCCCCATGAAGAGTGCTCCAGTATAGCTTGATCCCTAAATTAGACAGACTACGTCCATTGTCGTGCAAATACACGTCTGGAGAGAGGGGGTAGTTTTTCTGAAAATACTAAGTAATAGTGAGTGAAATTCAAGCTACTCGAATGTTGATCGCTGATTGGCTAGGAGGCCTTTGCACACTACATATTCTGTAGGATGACCCCAATTTCTGGAATTTTCTTGCTCTTTGAATTTCACCATTGCCTATCCACAGGCGGTAGACCACTGAAATGACGTTTCGCACTTTCCAGAAAACCCCATCAGCAAATCAGTGCATTAGATTTAAGGGCATAAATAACAATGGTGGTAGCTTTAATGTAAATAAAATAGAGATCAATGAAGTGCGAGCCGAGCATAACCATTTATGGGCAATGGTACAAATGGGTAAACAGCGTGACTTGCTCTGATTGGAAACATGGCCGTGACCCGATGCAGTCGTTGTTGCCGACCTCAATGAGGAATTCTAATGATATCGAAGGGCCCAAAGTTTATTCAAGGTGCTAGCCGACCCATTCAGGACCACTTATTGGGCCAGAAGACAACGAAAATTGGACTTTTCTCATTCACCCTTCTTTAAGAGGCAACAACCTCATAAATCTGGACTTTTTAGAAGCACATTAAAATTCCGTTAGAAGAAATCGGTTCTTCGGAGAACCAGTCCACATCTTATGCCTCCTTAATTGAGCCCAAACAAATCGGAAACCAGTGATGAGATTCCCCGGGCCACAACTGAGCGACATCACCAACTTAAAATTAAATGACAAGTGCCCCCCCCCCCCCCCCCCCCCCCCCCCCCCC